TCATTCCTCCCACGGACTTCTGAAACCTCCTACCTCTGGACCCCAGATGACGTTTCTGACCACTCCTTCGCCCCCCTCTGCACCCTCACATTCGACAACCCGGCCATGGCACCGCGGCCTTGGCGTCTCAGCTCCTCTCTCCTCCGCCGTCCCCAAGTCCCTAATATAATCGACTCCCACCTCCCCTCCCTGCCGTCACGCCCTTCTCCCGAAGCGTGGGACTCCTGGAAACTAGGCCTTACCCTTAGCCTCAAACGGTTCTCGAACGAAGAGCGCAAACGAGTTACCGGCACTACCGACCACCTCGTACGACTCATCAGTTGTCTCCAACTCCAATCCGCCCTCTCCCCTCTGAACCATGATGAGACCACTCAACTCCTCAAAGCCCGACAACAACTCACACGATACGAGACCTCTAAAACCGCTGAGCTCGCTCTAAAAGCAAAGCTCAAAGGCTGGGCACACATTCCCCCTTCTTCACTCCCCCCTCGACTCTTCAACCACTTGCAAGCTCCTTTCTCCTTTGTGGAAATTAGCAAAGCTATCGGGCAGCTCTCCCGTGGAAAGACCCCTGGCCCCGACGGCCTCCCGGATGAGCTGTTCCGCCAACATAAAACCCGCTTCGCTCCTGCATTCTTCTCCCTTTTTTCCTCACCCCTCATCTCCGCAGCCCTCCCGCCCTCAATGCTCTCCGGACGCACCGTCCTAATTCCCAAAAAAGGCAACTCTTCTTCGGCAGAGAACCTTCGGCCTATCACCCTCATGAATTCGGATTACAAGGTACTGGCCCTTTGCCTTGCCAATCGGTTGCAACTTGCACTTCCTTTAATCATCCACCCCTCCCAGACCGCTTTTATTAAGAACAGGAAAATTGGCGATACAATTAACGACACACTCGACATTTTCGACTGGAGCACACTCACTGAGACCCCCCTGCTCGCCTTAACTGTTGATTTTCGTAAGGCCTATGATCTGGTTGACCGCGCCTTCCTTTTCCGGGCGCTCGCTCTCCTCGGACTCCCTGAGCATTTCATCGCCTGGGTCCGCCTCATGCACTCCAACACCTCCACCCACATCTCTGTTAACAACCTTGCTGGGCCCACTTTCCCCGTTCGAACGGGGGTCCGACAAGGATGCCCCCTCGCCCCACTTCTTTTTGTTTGTGTCATCGAAATCCTTCAGCGTTACCTATCACTCTTTCTCCCAGGCTTCCCCCTCTCTACGAGCCAACGCCGCCTCATGGCCTGCTACGCTGACGATGTCACCATCTTCCTCTCCTCTGTTAGAGAGCTTGGGACCACACTTATACACCTCCAGACCTTTGCCGCCGTCTCCGGAGAACACCCCAACTGGAATAAATGCTCAATCATCCCATTTCACATTGCTGCGGAACTTATCCTCCTTGCTGGCCCTATTCCCATTCGCACTCCTCAAGAGGCAGAACGTCTTCTTGGCATCTATGTAGAACGTGCACAACCAGGCGCCACTACTTGGTTCACGACTCTCTCTCGCGTTCAGCGCACTGCTAAATTCCTTGCTGCCCTGCGTGCCACTACTACCTGCCGCAAATCACTTGCTTCTGTTTTCTTAAACTCCATTCTCTCTTTCCCTGGCCGCTTTCAACCCCCTTCCCCCGACATTATCAAGCGCCTCGACGTTTTGGTCGGGAACTTCCTTTCCTCCTCTCGTTTCAAGGAACACGGCCTCGCGGTCCGTCTCATCCCTAATCGTCTCCTGTATAATTCCACACGCCATGGAGGTCTTGGAGCAATCGCTCCTTCCACCCAAATCCGCGCTCTAGCCGCTCACCGCGCGCTTCGCCGCTTTGGCGCCTCACCATCAGAAGAGGTGGCGAGAGCTGCGGTTTGCCTCCCTTTTAGCACACACTGTTTCTTAGCACACCCTGCCATCCTCAAACCAGGCATCCTTCCAGCGGTGATTCCAAATCGAGCGCTCGCTGAACTACACGCAGTGATAGAGATCGCTCCGGACATTGTCCCGCCCCGCCTCGTCCCTATGTGTATAATGGCTGAGCCCACCGCCTTCAACCGTTTTATTCTCAAACCGAACGGGAAGCCTTTTGGAATTCTGCCACGTGAACGCTTCCTCCTAACTATGCAAATTCGTGTTGGCCACCTTATCTCCCTTATCTTTCACTCACTTGGTGTGGTCTCCTTTAAACATTTTACCTTCGTGTTTCCCCTCGTCAACTCCTCTACTGGACGGAGAGTCTGGCGAGACCTTGTCCGTGCCATCCCCAAGCCCTGGTGGTCAGCCCTTCGCTCCCCCCCTCCCCCCTCGGCAACTCTCGGGGAGTGGTTTGTCCCCAAAGACGACGCTGATTCCTCCCCCACTCTTGCTCTCCAGGTCACGGCCTTCTCTCCCCCGTCATTGCTCTCAGCCTCCCTTCATCGTGTCCTTCCCAACCGGCTCATCGTCGGCTCGTCGTTCGGAGATGGCACCTTTAACATAGGTGACCTCTGCACGGTGCATGTCGTTGGGTCCTGGCTTGCAGGCCCCTTCTATACAGGTGCAGGGCTCGGCGCGCGGCTCGACATCCTACAGGACGGAGGCCTAAGTGTAGCGGACATCCGTCGCCGCCTCTATACTCAGCTTCCACTTGACCACGCCGCCCGCTGGATCCACGTCCTCCCAGTTCCTCCGCCTCTCATCCCTGACTTCTCCCACGATTTTCTACGCGAGCAACCCAGTCTCCAACGCGATGTCCTGTACCGGTTCTACACTCGCGCACTTCCTTCGGGTTCGCGTTTCAACTTTGCCGCAGATCGAGGGATTTGTTCACTCTGCACTGCCGCACCCATAGAGACTATCTCCCACATCTTCTACAAGTGCGGGGTGGCCCCTGTAGTGATCTCTGCTCTCTCCTCCGTCGCTCGTCGTCACCTCCGCTGCTCTCCTCCTCCTGAGCTCTTGCTCTTTCCACTCGCCTCTAGAACTGGCCAGGTGGCCCCCTGGAGCCTCTTGGTTGGAGCATCTGCAAAAGCCATTTGGAACGCGCGCTGTGAACACAAGTTCCACGACTCACCCTCCTCCCGGTTTGAGATTCTCCAACTCATCCTAGCACAGTTCCTCATTGCGTTCAAAATCTTTCTCTGGCGAAGGAAGAAACAATCAGTGAAAAAACAACGACGCTCAGCCGCTCGTATCAAGCTGGCCACTCAATTTCGCTTCCTCGTTTTTGACCATGACGGCACCCCTTCTATTCACCCTGACCTCCGCGCATCCTGGCTGCTCGACGACCCTTTTCGCCCCCCTTAGGCCTTCCTTTTTTTAGCATAGAGAGCTCCCCAGCTGTGCTGGCGGTTATCCGCAGGATATGGAGATAACGTGTTTCCTATGTACGCCTTTGGGCGTTTTGGTTTGTGTAGACCATATCTCTAGCTTCTCTATGCTTTGCTGTACATGGTTACGACCTTAATATAACCTTAACCTTAACCAACCCTCTTCGGAGGGTTCCGTCCCCGCTTCCCGATGCCGTGGGTATTCCGATGCCGTAATTTTTTTTCCAAGTGTGCATGTGCTGGCGAACACCGCCGTGGTTTTTGGCTTCAAAGGTGCTGGCGAACAGCCCCAAGGGAGCCGTGTTCATTTACGGAGGTTCTGTGCGGTTTGTTTCAGAGCAAAAAGCCTGTATACCGTGAACAACCTCGGAAATTCCATCGGAAACGCGTGAAATCAAGGCTTCTTCGTAAAGAACCCGATACAACCAATACTCAAGATGGAACTATAAGCACTTGCTAACTATAGTATTTTGTACGAGATCATCCATGATTCAAGCAACTGTTTTTTTTTTTGCGTGTATATTATGATATATTACATATAATTTTTTCTTTTATCATATGATAATAAATCTCTGAATGGTTTCTAGATTTTTATCTATCGAGCATTGAAATTAAATGTATGAATCTTTACAATTAGACGCACCACCTTTTTTATTCAGCTATATAGCGAGCTCCACACGCAAACGGTCACGCTTATAAATACTGCAAAGGCATCCCCGACGGCGGGCAAGCAAGCAAGCAACACCATCCATCACGTCAGATTCGACTGGGCTCTGCCGTGTTTTGCTACCGCTGCTGAGCCAGCATAGCACATCCAATAATGACTCCTCCAGACTAGAATGCATAATTCATTCCAGCACATGAATCAATGAGGCTTCTAGGATCACGCCACGCCGCATCTCGCGGCGTGTTGGGATTAGGGGCCTGAAGTCACTCGGAAACGCAGGACGGCTCAAGTAGGCTGAGCGGAAGTCCCGCATTGTGCGTGCACGCAATGCTGCCGATGTCATTGTTCAGCCTGCCTTACCCAGTCGTTGTAACTTATAACCATACACGCTGTAACGTCAGCCATAGCCTCTGATCGCACGTCTTAGCCACGTAGAGCCTCTCAGCTGCTATCCTGTTTCTCCCTATTTTTCATGAGTCTTTATGTGCAAAACAGGGTATCTTTCATTTAGTATTTTGTGTTAGCTTCATTGTTAAAACGCGAGAGTACGGTTTTAATCCACCCTCGCGTCTCGGCGTAGCGGCAGTTCACCCTGATCAGCCCATCCTCGATACAAGCATCGGACCCTCTTAGCAAATCTCGCGAATTCGGTAGCGACGTTCCCGAATCCCACCCGTTTCGCCGTCTCCCGCGCACCCGGTCGTCGCGATGATTTTCGAGACCGTCCGCGTGTCGCCCGACGAGCTCCACCTGCCGTGTACGCACACGCTTCGCCTCCCTCGCCTCATTACCTTTCAGTCACATTAAGGCTATCTACTTTACTTTCTTTCTTACTTTATTTTTTTAGCCGTCACCTTGTCACCTCTCTCCTCCCATTTTCTCCCTTCTCCTCCCCGTCTCTCCTATGTGTTTCGTCCCGTGTCGTCCGCTTGCCTTAACGGATCGCGCCAACTCTCGCGTTCGTTTACGATCCGGATACCCCGTCCGTCCGCTCATGCTCTCGAATCGCCCTGCCGTCTCTTTCCCCGGCCATGGGCCTCTTGCCGTTTCCCGTGCCTGTGCGGCCTGTGTTTGCCCGGGTGTTGCTGCCGCTCCGTATGCCGTGTGGGTTCGGCGCTGCGAGCGGCGGCAGTCGAGGCGGGCAGGAGTCTGGAGTGCGACATGCATCTCACGAACGTCACCTCGCACACCGTCCTCGCCAAGGCACGCTCCCCCCTCGCTCCTTCCTCTCCTCTTCTCGCTCCCCCTCGCTCTCCCTCGTGCACCCTCTCTCCCCCTCGCTCTCCCTCGCTCTTCCTCCCTCTCTCGAGGCGGGCAGGAGTCTGGAGTGCGACATGCATCTCACCAACGTCACCTCGCACACCGTCCTCGCCAAGGCACGCTCCCCACACCTCCCCTTGCTCTCGCGCTCTCTCACGCTCTCTCGCGCTCTTTCGCACTCTCCCTCGCTCTTACTCGCACTCTCGCGCTCTTTCGAACTCCTGCTATCCTGCTCTCCTGCTCGGCCGTTTGCTTCCAGGCAGCCGCGCTTTGCTCCGCTCCATATGCTCTGCTCTGCTGCCGCACACCGAGTGACGTCTGGGTAGCTAAGTCTGTGGGTATTGTCATCTCCGTGTGTGCATACGTTCCATCCCTCCCTCCCTCCCTCCCTCCCTCCCTCCCTCCCTCCCTCCCTCCCTCCCTCCCTCCCTCCCTCAGCTGCTCCCCAGCAATCCGCGGCGCTACAAGTTCTCATCGGGCCCGAAGCTGCTGCTGCCGCCCTACTCTATCGCAGACATCCGAGGTACGGTGGGCGGGGGGCAGGAGGAGCAGAAGGGGAGAGGGGAAGGGGAGGGGAGGAGGCGGGGAGGAGCACAGGGAAGGATCATCCTCCCTCCTTCGCACTGCCCATCCCCCTCTCCCCCTTTCTGCTTCCTCCCTTTCACCTGCATGCAATGCCGTGTGATTGTTTAATCTCATGCTTGGAATACCATCCGCACCGTCTCACTTCCTTCTCCCCACATTTCCCCTCATTTCTCCTCCCAACCCCTCCCTTCCCCTCCCTTCCCGTCTCCTCCCGTCCCGTCCCTGACCTTCGCTTCTGCTCTCCCCTCTTGTGCCGGCTGTGACGTGTCAGGTGAGGGGCTGCGAGCGCTGCCTGGAACAACAACAACAGCATTAACGTGGAGTGCTACCGTGCTGCTGATGCATCTTTGATTCTCGAAACGTCCTACAAAATTGCCTCCTACTCTTCCCGCTACTTGCTCACCCGTGCATGGCAGTGACGTGTGAGGCGTTGAGAGCGCGGCCGTACTGGAATGATAACATCAACGTGGAATGCTACCGTGCTGCTGATGAATCCCTGCCGCTCTCCATCGATAATGTAACCATGCCTTCTGCTGCTGCCGCCACTGCTGCTGCTGCTGCTGCTGCTGCTGCTTATGCTTCTGCTGTTGCTGCTGCTGCTTATGCTTCTGCTGCTGCTGCTGCTGCTTATACTTCTGCTGCTGCTGCTGCTGCGATTCATAACCACAATGACATGGCACTCCTGACTGGAGTAGCAAAACTGTCTGTGCCGTGGACGTATGGGAAAGTGCTTGAGATTTTTGAGCACTGAGAAGGAATATATATATATATATATAAACCCTCCTCTCTCTTGCATCCCCTCACCACCTCACGCACTCATCCCCTGACCCCCCCCCCCCTCTTCTACAGGACGCAGCACCGCTGATCGGAGTAGCCAAGCTGCGCCTGCCAGTGCTCTTCCAGGACTTGGGCGGCCCTCTCTCCTCCTCCCCCTCCATCTTCTCCTCCTCGTCCCTCTCTCGCGCCGCCAACACGAGCATGAGCGGGAGTGCAAGTGCGAGTGCGCGGGCGTCTATAGCGAGTGGCAGTGTGCGCGCGGATAGCGCCAGCAGTAGTGTGCTCAACTCAGCATGCGATGATTTTTTAGAGGCTGCTCGCAGCGTGGTGTGTGTTGGGGGGTGGGGTGGGGTGGGGTGGGGTGGGATGGGTTGGGAGTGGGAGGGGGTGGGTTGGGGAGGGGGGTACGTGGGGGGGAAGGGTTGGGTGAGTGTTGAGGCGCCTGAAAAGCAGCAGTGTGCTTAACTCAATTTGTGGTGGTGAGCTTGATTTGGAGAATTCTCAAAATCAAGCTCAAACAAAATGAAAAGCAGCAGTGTGCTTAACTCAATTTGTGGTGGTTCTTTTGCTGCTTCCAGCATGGTGTGTTTGAAGAGGGTGTGGCGGGGGTGGGGGGCGGAAGAGGCGTGTGTGGGGGGTCAATCACTCACAGACAGCCTCATCGCTGCATTCCCTCATCTCCCCATCTGCTCTGCTCCATCGTCCCCCCATCGCCCCTTGTGGCCCATCGCGCCCTCTCTCCATCGTCTGCTGTGTACGCACCGCACACACAGGGTGAGGCGCAGGCGAAGCACCGGGGCGAGTGCATCTCGGAGCTGGCCGGGCGCTCACAGACAGCCTCATCGCTGCATTCCCTTGTCTCCCCGTCTGCTCTGCTCCATCGTCCCCCCCATCGCCTGCTGTGTGCGCACCGCACGCACAGGGCGAGGCGCAGGTGAAGCATCGGAACGAGTTCATATCGGAGCTAGGCCGGGCCCTCACGGACAGCAAGAAGCAGGCCACTGCTGTAAGTTGAGTTGTGAGGAGATTGCAGGATGGTGAATATGCATGCTCGTGAATATTCTTCATAAAAAATAGCTCACGGACAGCAAGAAGCAGGCCACTGCTGTAAGTTGTGGGTGAAGAGACGACTATTGAGGCGCCTCAAAAGGGATGAATTCATATCGGAGCTTGGCCGGGCCCTCGCAGACAGCAAGAAGCAGGCCACTGCTGTACGCCCCTGCTGCGCTCCCTCCCTCCCTGCTCCCTCCCCCCCTGCTCCCTCCCTCCCTGCTCCCTCCCCCCCTGCTCCCTCCCTCCCTGCTCCCTCCCCCCCTGCTCCCTCCCTCCCTCCTCCCTCCCTCCTCTCTCCCTCCCGTCCTCGCTCCTCCTCCCGCTCCTCTTCCTCTCTTGCTCCCTCCCTCGCTCTCTCCCTTGCTCCCTTCCTCGCCTTCCTTCCTGTCTCTCTTCCTGCGTGGGTCCCCACCCCCACCCTCTTCCCCTTTCCCCCCTCCTGCTCTTCCTCTTTTCTAACGTTCTTTCGTGCTCAAACTCACCCACAGCACACACATGTTTGGCTTTCTTCAGTCAGCATTCAAGAATAATAAAACAATGAAAGGATGGCTGTCCACACACATCCTTTCCTGAACTTTTGTGCTGAATCCCCATGCCGAGTGCCCGTGCTGTATCCCCCCCCCCCCCCCCCGCTCTTCTTCTGCATGCATTTCTGGCGACTCCCCATCCTCCCTGCTCCCCGTCTCCCGCCACCCTTTCTCCGCATCACCATCCTTGACTCCTTGCCGTTCCCCCCATCCCTCTAACCAAACCCCCTGCTCTCTAAGACAACGCTCCCCGCTCCCGCTTGACTACGCAAGTGCTGGATCAAGTTGACGATTTGTTCAAACTGGCTCTCTAAGACAACGCTCTAAGCTCACAGTTAACCGGGATCTTCCAATCATTCCATGGGGTTTGTCTTGTCGATTTAATAACCACACGAGTTGATGGAAGTAAGACCTCCGCAGCCCACCTGTCTGCTACTGACAGCCGTCTCCCCCATCCCTCTAACCAAACCCCCCTGTCCGTCCCCCTCCCCCCCTGCACCACCACACTGCACCACACCACGACACTGGACCACACTGCACCACCGAACTGCACCACACTGAACCGCACTGCAGCTACTACACGAGGTGGAGGAGCTAAAGTGGCAGCTGGGGCAGGCGCAGCATCAGAGCAAGCACCTCAAGTCACGCGTGGTGGGATTGGTGGGGTCGTGATGGGTTGGGTTGGGTTGGGTTGGGTTGGGTGGCCTGACATGACCGGCAGTGCACTGCTCTCTTGGGAAGTTGTTCTACAGGCACCTCATAAGCCTGTTGGGATTGGTGGCGTGACATGGTGTTGGAATCCGTGGCCTGACATGATTTGTACTGCCTCTCCATGGGATGCTCTTGCTTGGAACGCTCCCTCTGCTGCTCTGCTGTTAGTAGAGGTTTGACTTTTGAGTCGACTCAAAAGTCACTTCATGGGAAGTTCCTTCTGGATTGCTCACTTCCGCTTGTCCCGCTGTCTTGCTTTCTTGTCAATTCGTTGCTATACTCTACCTACTGCCGCATTGCTGCCGACTCAACTCTTTCTGTTTACTCAGTTCACTGGTCCTAGCCCCCTGCTTCTCCTGTGCCTCGTCTTTTGGGAACTCTCAGTCGTGAATCCAATAAGCCGTTGCTGCGTTGATGCAGACTCAGCTCTCTCTGCTCTCTTGCTTGTCCTAGGTCCACGCTCCTCCTATGCTCACTCCTCGCACTCCACACACGTGTGTGATGCATCCTGTGCTGCCATGTGTGTGTGTGCTGCTCTCTCTGTGCTGCCATGTGTGTGTGTGCTGCTCTCTCTGTGCTGCCATGTGTGTGTGTGCTGCTCTCTCTGTGCTGCCATGTGTGTGTGTGCTGCTCTCTCTGTGCTGCCATGTGTGTGTGTGCTGCTCTCTCTGTCCCACCCCCTGTGTGCCACTCCCTGTGTGCAGACGGACTATGAAGCATTGGGGGCAGGCAGTGTGGATGAGCGGATAGAGGTGCTGCGCACACACCTTGCAGAGGCGGAATGGAACGCGGAGCAGGTGAGACACGTGGCTGCTGCCACGTGATTGGTTGGCTGGTGGCTGCTGGTTACGTGATTGGCTCGCTAATGGCTGCTGCCACCTGATTGGTTGCTGCTGTAGCATGACTGAGTTACAAGATGTATCGAAGCGTGACTGCTTCGCCCATGCTTGTGCTGCAAATATGCATGTGCTATGCTATCTATCAACCTGCCCAGGAGGAGTTCCCATTCCATCCCCACTGCCCGCCTTTGCAACCATGCATGCAGGCAGCAACAGACGTGTGGGAGAAGGACAAGGAGATCAAGGACCTCAAGGCCAAGCTGGTCAGTGCACCCACCCACCCATCCTTCCATTCCTCTTTGAGCTACTTCTGGGAATTCTGAACGGTCGCATCATATCGGAGGGTTGGGATGTGTGTGGGAGAAGGACAAGGAGATGAAGGACCTCAAGGCCAAGCTGGTCAGTTTCGTCTCGTCCCTCCAATGCTGCTTGCGTTGCCTCGAGTTGCTGTTAAGACTACTTGATAAGGAGAACGAGACGTGTGGGAGAAGGACAAGGAGATCAGGGACAACGATTAAGGATCCATCCATCCATCCATCCATCCATCCATCCATCCATCCATCCATCCATCCATCCATCCATCCATCCATCCATCCATCCATCCATCCATCCATCCATCCATCCATCCATCCATCCATCCATCCATCCATCCATCCATCCATCCATCCATCCATCCATCCATCCATCCATCCAAACAACCCCTCAACCCCTCGCAATTGGTCTCTGCACCCTTCCCCAGGCGTCCATGGAGTTGGAACTGCAGGCAATGACAGAGCGGGAGGAGGCGGCTGTGGCACTGTGGGAGAGGATTCTTAGAGCTCTCTCCCTCTCTTGCTTCCCTACTCCCTCTTGCCCCTTCACACGCGTGCATGGCACTACACTCCTCCAGGCGTCCATGGAGTTGGAACTGCAGGCAATGACGGAGCGGGAGGAGGCGTTGGTGGCGCTGCAGGAGCGCACAGAGGAGAAGCGCGCGGGGCTGGAGGAGGAGCTGGCGCAGGTGCAGGAGGAGATGCAGCGCGTCACACGGCGCAAGGCCGACATGGAGGCGGACATGCGCAGGCGCGTGGCGGAGGCGGTGAGTTGAGAGCAGGGCAGGGATACGGATAAGGAGAGGGGGAGATTTTGGAGACGCCTTAAATCGGGAGGTGGTGTGGTGAGTGTCGGCCACTTCTGAAAATGGGCAACGCGAGGGTGGGGGAGTGCAAGGGGCAGAGGGGGGGTGGGGACATCTTCTGCACAGGAGAGGGAGAAGGGGTTGGTTGCAATTTTTTAAGCTGTAGAGCAGCTGTGAGTCCCGCTCCCCTGCTTCCCCACTCCTCCGCTCCTCGGCATACCTGCCCCCCCCATCCTCCCACGAGTTTGCCAGGGCAGCAGCGCAGGTGCGGGAGAAGGGGCTGTGGTTGCAGAAGCCGTGCTGAGTCACGGTTCTTGACTTCATTCCCCTCTTCCCTCTTCCCCCTTCCCTCTTCCGCTCCCCTGCTCCTTCCATCTTTTCAGGAATCAGCCATGGCGGCAGCGCAGGCGCGGGAGAAGGGGTTGGAGGAGCGGCGCAGGGCGGCGGTGGTGGAGGAGCGGAAGCTCAAGGCGCGAGTGCTGGAGCTCAAGACAGAGGTGGCGCGCGCTGGCACGCACAGCACTTCCTCCTTCAAGGCTGTCGCTCAGGTGGGGGGGAGTGGTTGCTCTTGTGGGGGAGGGGGGGGGGGGGAGAATGGGTGGGATGCTGGAGCTCGAGACAGAGGTGGCGCGCGCTGGCACTCACAGCACTTCCTCCTTCAAGGCTGTGGCTCAGGTGGGTGCTGCTGCCTGTGAGGTTGCTTGCTGTTGTGGGGGGTGGCAGGCTAGGAGGACTGGTTGCTCTGGGTGGAGCAGGTAGGTAGGTAGGTAGGTAGGTAGGTGGAAGCTCAAGGCTCGAGTGCTGGAGCTCAAGACAGAGGTGGCGCGCGCTGGCACTCACAGCAGCACCTCCTTCAAGGCTGTAGCTCAGGTGGGTGCTGCCTGTGGTGGGGCAGGTGCTTTGGAGTGCTCGCCTGTGGGCACGGAGAATATCGGTAGTACTGGTTTCTTTGGAGCAGTTGGGTAGGGACGCTTGTGGTGTGGTGTGTGTGCCTCGTGCTTGTCCTGTACAGTAATGACGATTTTTTATTCCATGTCCTTATATTGATTGCTCACACCTGTGTGTGTGGGGGGGTGTTTCCTCTACCATCCCTCCATCGCTCCATCGCTCCATCGCTGCACGGGTGCGAGCACACAGGTGGCAGCGCTGCGGTTCCAGAAGGAGCGCTTGCTGCGGGAAAAGGAGAACCTCGAGAAGAAGCTCAAGGTGAGAGGGCAGGCCCGCAGGGTGCGGAAGGAGGGGGGAGCAGGGTGAGATTTAAAAGAAAAAAGACTCAAGGAGGGGGGTGCGGTTTCAAGGTGGAGAAGGAGATATTTGAAAACTCAAGAAGGAGATATATTTAAAAAATAATCAAGGAGATGTTTTTTAGAAAGACTCAAGAAGGAGGTATTTTCTAAATTGACTCAAGAAGGAGATATTTTCTAAATTGACTCAAGAAGGAGATATTTTATAAATTGACTCAAGAAGGAGATATTTTCTAAATTCACTCAAGAAGGAGATATTTTCTAAATTCACTCAAGAAGGAGAATCTTGAGAAGAAGCTCAAGGTGGGGAGGCAGGCCCGCAGGGTGCGGAAGGAAAGCCGGGAGGGAAGGGGAAGGGGATTGAGAGGGAAAGACTTTGTTGTCACTAGGTGAGAAGGAAAACCTCGAGAAGAAGCTCAAGGCGAGAGCAGGCCAGCAGGGTGAGGAAGGTTCTAGGCGCCTTAGGAATCGCGTCAATACAGAAGGAGCGCTTGCTGCAGGAGAAAGGAGCTCAACGCGAGGAGGCAGGCCCGCAGGGTGCGGAAGGAAAACGGGGAGAGGGAGAGGGGAGTGGATCGGGAGGGGGAGATTTTTGAGTCGACTAAAAAATCTCCTCCAGAGCTGCAGTTCCAGAAGGAGTGCTTGCTGCAGGAGAAGGAGAAAGAGAAAGAGAATCTTGAGTTGCCTGCGCTCCCTCCGCCCCATCCGCTTGCTCCTGTGTCCTCTCCCCCGCGTACATGCATGGTGCATACATGTGCATATGCATATGGATGTATAAATACATCATACATACAAAGTAAAGATAGATGTATGGAGATACATCTAGCCATCCTTCCATCCGTCCGTCTTGAGTGCGGTGCGTGTACAGGAGGCAACAGGGCAAGGTGCAGGGGGAGCGGTAGCAGTGGCAGCAGTAGCAGCGGAGGCTAGCAATGAGACTATTCAGAAGCTGGAACAGGAGCTGGTGAGTGCTGTGTTGTGCATGGGTATGGGTATGGGCATGGGTACGGCCCTGGTTTTAGAGTCGACTCAATTTCAGCGCGCAGGGTCTGCGGTGGCAGGGGTGGCAGGGGAGGCTAGCAATGAGACTATTCAGAAGCTGGAGCAGGAGCTGGTGAGTGCTGCTGTGTGCATGGGTGTGGCACTGGGTGCAGGCACATGAACATCCACATGCATACATATATACACATGCACCCATGCACATGCACAGGTACATGCACAACGCATGCACACGTGCACAGGCACATGCACATGTGCGTGCATACATACACATGCATAGGTACATGAACGTGCACATGCACATGCACACATGCACATGGACATCACCCGTAAACCCTCCCATCCATCCTCCCATCCATCATAATTTTATCTGTCGATCCGCCCATCCATCCATGCACCTCCAGGTACCAGAGAACCAGAGCAGCAGAGGCAGCAACACTACCAGGCACAACTAGCCATGAAACACATGCTGTGTTGTGTCTCACATCACAACATCCATGTTCCATCCACTCGTGCTGTGTTCCATGTTCCACTCAAAACACGACACCCTTGTTCCACTTCCACACTGCCTCAGTCGTCCCCTTTACCCCCCCTCTCCCCCTTCCTCTAGAGATGCTGGAAGCAGAGAGGAGCGCAGCAGCAGAGGCAGCGACACCGCTACAACCGACACCAACAATACGTGACTAGTATCCGCATTTCAATCTGCCTCAGTCGTCCCCTTAACCCCCGCTCTCCTCCCTCCTCCCAGGCACACACGCAGGAGATGCTGGAAGCAGAGAGGAGCGCAGCAGCAGAGGCAGCGACACAGCGAGAGGCGATGAGGGGAGAGGTGGAGGAGCTGAGGCGGGAGGTGGAGGCATTGAGTGCTCGCAGCAAAGAGGAGGCCGATGGGCAGCAAGCAGAGGAGCAGGATCCGGTGAGTGGGGAGGGAGAAAGAGGTGGTGGAGTCTATTTTTGAGTCGACTAAAAATAGACTTGTCGCACAGAGGCAGATGGGCAGCAAGCAAAGGAGCAGGATCCCGTGAGTGGGGAGGGGGAGGTGGGGAAGGGGGGGAGATGGGGAAGGGGGGAGTGAAAAGGGGAGAGGGGAAAGGGGAAAGGGGAAAGGGGAGAGGTGGGGGAGAGGGGGAGGGGAGAGGTTGGGGGTGAGGTGGGAAGGAGAGGGTGGCTGGCTCTTGAGGGGAGGTGTTAGCGCCTCGCCTTGTAGATCCACGGGCTTCCACTCGCCCTGCTGAACCTCTCGCCCTCTATGTGTGTGTGTGTGTGTGTGTGGCATGTTTGGGCATGTGTGGGTGTGCGTGTGCATGCATGTGTGGGCATGTCTGTGTGTGCATGCGTGTGTGTGCATGCATGTGTCGACGTGCATATGTGTGCGTGCATGTGTGTGCGTGCATGTGTGCTTACGCATATGTGTGCATGTGCGTACATGTGTGTACATGCATGTGTGCACATGCGTGTGTGTGCGTGCATGTGTGTGCATGCATATGCGTGCATGGATGTGTGTCTGCATGCATATGTCTACGTGCATATGTGTGCTTGCATTTGTGTGCGTGCATGTGTGCTTACGCATTTGTGTGCATGTGCGTGCATGTGTGTGCATGCACGTGTGCACATGCGTATGTGTCCATGCATGTGCGTGCATGCATTTGTGTGCATGCGTGTGTGTACATGCATATTTGTGTATGCATGTGTGTCTGCATGCATATGTGTGCGTGCATGTGTGTGTGCATGTGTGCGCATGCATGTATGATGCATGCATGTTTGTGCATGCACCTGTGTGCATGCACGTGCGTGCATGTCGGTGCATGCATGCATGTGTGTACATGCATGTGCGTGCATGCCACACGTGAAGCAGATAGCGAGTGCATCGGAGGAGGAGTTGAGGGAGCAGCTGCAGAGTGCATTGGAGCAGTGGGAGAAGACCAAGAACTTCGTGAGTACAGTCCTCCTTGATGGAAATGTGCCGTGTGCCATTGCAACGAGGTGACTTTTGAGTCGACTCAAGTGTTGAGGGAGCAGCTGTAGAGTGCGTTGGAGCAGTGGGAGAAGACCAAGAACTTCGTGAGTACAGCCCGAGCCACGGGGATACGCTGGGGCAGGGTGGGATAGGAAGGAATGAGTGGAAGATGAGGGGTGTGTGTATTTGCATGTGCGTAGTTGTGGGTGAGGGTGTGGGTGTGGGTGTGGGTGTGGGTGTGGGTGTGGGTGTGGGTGTGGGTGTGGGTGTGGGTGTGTGACTGTACGTGTGCTTGTGTTTTGTGTGGGAAGCTGTTAACGAGTGAGAGAAAGGGACCATTTGAATCAATCAATACAAGGACCATTTGAGAGAAAGAGACCGAGTAATGTAATAATCTTCACTCTAAGCCTGCACCTCTAACATCCCTTACGTCCCCTCTTCACTGCCCCCTCCCCTATGCACCCCTCCTTCCCTCTCTCCCCTCTCGGCCTACATTCTTCCCTTATTACCTCCCGACTCTTCCCCTTTGCCCTCCCTACTCCTTTCCTTTGCCCTCCCTGTTTCCCTTCGCCCTCCCTACTCCCCGTCGCCCTCCCTGTGTCCCCGTGGCCACTGTCAGTCCCGCCTCCTGCAGGGGCAGGTGTTTGAGCAGAAGAAGCGGATAAGAGAACTCGAGGTTTGCTCTCGCTGCCATTCCATTGCCCTTCTTTCTCATCCCTCTCAAATCTTCTCTCAAGCGTCTACGTTTCCAACACATCAACGGTATCCCAAACCTTGCTTCCGGGGCGCCCCCAGTGCACCTTGCTTCTAGCCTTGACACGTCTTTGAAGCTAAAATAGGTCCTTCTTTTTTTCCTCTCATCATCCATATCATATCACCACTCACCACTCACCACCCATACCACCACTCACCCATCCATACCCCGGAAACCTGACACTGTACCCCACCATTCTCTCCTCTGTGCGTCTCAGGGAGAACTCAAACGGTCAGACGCAGGCCCGCTAAAGGAGCGCCTGGAGAAGGTGAGATGGGAGCGGGCTGCTGCGCAAGGGGATGAATGAAAAGGGTTGTTGCTCGGTTGAGAGTGGTTCCGTGTGGTTCCTGAGTGTGGAGTTGAAGGAGATGGGGGTTTAGCTCAGGGGGTTGGGGGAGAAGACTTTTGAGTCGACTCAAAAGTCACCTCGTTGGGGGAGAAGGAGAGGAAGCCGTAGGAACTGAAAGGGTTTGATATGAACGTTGTTCAACCTTTTTTTTTTTTCTTGTGATTTCTCCACCTTTGTTTGATTTTTGTTCCACACTCTTGCGACGAAGTCCTGCCCACTTCTTTCTCCTTGCTTGACTTCCCCTCCCCCTTCTCTTTCACCCCCTTTCACCCCTTCTTATCCACCCCTGCTTACCCCGTTCAATCTGTCTCTTAACCCTTTTCACCCCCTTCCACCCCCGTTCACCTGGGAGCAGGTGGAGGAGGAGGCACGTGCACTTGGGCAGTATGTGGAGCAGCTGGAGCGGGAAAGGGCACAGGTGCGATTCAGTCATTATTCTCAGAAAGCAGTAGTTGTGTAGTCTAGCCTCTAGATTTAAGCGAAAGGTACGCGCTATGTAAAACTAAGTGCACTTGGGCAGTATGTGGAGCAGCTGGAGCGGGAGAGGGCACAGGTGAGACGGGGCGAGGGGGGGCGAGGGGGGGCGAGGGGGGGCGAGTGGGGGCGAGTGGGGGCGAGTGGGGGCGAGTGGGGGTGAGGGGGGGCGAGGGGGGGCCGGGGGGGGCGGGCGTGGGCGAGGGGGAGCGTGGGGGGGCGAGGTGCGAGGGGCGAGGGGCGAGGGGGAAAGGAGGGGATTGGGAAAGGGGGAGAGGGAAGTGGGAAGAGGGAGGATGGAAGAGGGAATAGGGAAGGGAAGAGGGAGGAGGAAAGAGGGGAATGGGAGGTTTACTATGGCAAAATGAGATGGGATGCTTTTCACAGGGTTACCAAGCAAACTCGTGCGGGGCAAGGCAAGGCAAGGCAAGGCAAGGAGTCAAGTCAGAAGAAAGTAGTGGTTGCAGTTGTTTCCACTTTTGAGAATTCTCAAAAGTGATTTCAAGGCAAGGTGGCGTTTGATTGAGTCGACTCAAAAGGCAAGGCAAGGTGTCAAGTCAGAAGAAAGTAGTGGTTCTTGATCTGGCGCGCAAGGTTCGGCAGTTGTTTCCTATGCAGCCACTCAACTCGCTTGCTGCCCCCTCCCAACCCAACATTCTCTTTCTGCCCCCCATGCCCCGATGCCCCCATGCCCCTCTCCTACCCCTCTGCCCCTATCCCCCTATCTCCCTATGCCCTACCCAACCTGCCCTCCCGTCCCCCTGTCCCCTCTGCCTACCTCCTGCCCTGCTCCCGCCTGCCCTACCCCCTGCTGTCCCCGCTCCCCCCTGTTCTATTCTATCTACCCCCCCTTGGCAGGGCGGGGCGGATCCAGCAGAGGTGGAGGCTATGAGGGCGAACCTGCAGGCCATGCGCGAGGAGGTGGGGCAGCCAACCCCTCTGCCCCTCCTTTCCCCCGTCCCCCTCCTCATTTCCCCCTGCCTTTTTCTGCACCCTCTCCTTCCCCCTATTCCCCCCTGCCCCCCCTGCTCCCCCACCTGTTTCCCCCTCCCCCCTGTTCTTCTACCCCCTGCTGTCCCCCTCCCCCCTGTTCTATCTTCCCCCCCTTGACAGGGCGGGGCGGATCCAGCAGAGGTGGAGGCGATGAGGGCAGACCTGCAGGCCATGCGCGAGGAGGTGGGGCAGCCCCCTTCCTGCCGCTCCTTTTCCCCACTGCGCTCTTCCTTCTGCTCTTCCTGCCCCTCCCTGGCTTCCCCTGTTCGGTCTACCCCCCCCCCGTGGCAGGGCGGGGCGGACCCAGCAGAGGTGGAGGCGATGAGGGCGGACCTGCAGGCCATGCGCGAGGAGGTGGGGCAGCGGCGCATGGAGCACGAGCACCTCATGCAGGAGCTGGTGTGTGCACACAGGGGGGGGGAGGGGTTTGGTTTGGGGGAAAGGGGGGGGATGGGGAGGGGGGAAGGGGGTGTGGAAGGGAGGTGGGGCAGCGGCGCATGGAGCACGAGCACCTCATGCAGGAGCTGGTATGCGCACACAGGGGGTGGGGGGAGAGGATGGTGTGGGGAGGGGGGAAGGGGATGGTGTGGGGAGGGGGGGAGGGTTGGTGTGGGGAGGGGGGGAGGGCATGGTGTGGGGAGGGGTTGGTGTGGGGAGGGCGGGAGGGGGAAGGGATTGGTTTTTGAGTCTACGCAGAAGAGCACGGGCAGCTTCTGCAGGAGCTGGTATGCGTATACAAAGAAGGGGGGAAGAGGTGGGGGTCGGTGCGCGCTCACAGGGAGAAGGGGATGGGGTGAGGGGGGCAAAGGGGTTTGAGTTGAGTCTAGTCTACGCGGAAGAGCACGGGCAATGAAGGGACTAGTGCTGTGGGGGTGTGAAAGAAGGGGCTCTCTGAGTTGAGTTGACTCAGATGCTGACCCATAAGCTGGGGAGAGCACGGGAAGCGGGGGGAGAGGGGGAAAGGGGCGGGTGGGGTGGAGGCGAGTAGCTGTCGTGCAAGAGCTGGTGAGTAAGGGCACGCATGGGAGGAAGATGAAGGGTTTGGGTGCGAGAAGAAGAGCTCAGAAGAGTGGGGCGGGGCGCAGAAGAAAGGGGCAGGCAGAGGGGGAAGGGGGTAGACTTGGTCAGGCGTGCAGTGCAGTGTGTGACTCTTTGGAGGAATGTGATTGTGTGGAAGGCAAAGGAATGTGACTGCAGATGTGCAGTGCGTGATTGCAGACGTCTGCAGCACTGCCCACGCACGGAACATGTAGGAGGGGTTGAGATGATGCATACATTCATCCGCAAGTAGGGGGGGTACTCCTCCCCGCCCTTTTCTGTGCTTCTCCCTTTGGCCCCCCTCTCCACATACCTTCTCACATACCTTCTCACATACCTTCTTACATTCCTTCTCACATACCTTCTCACATACCTTCTCACATTCCTTCTCACATACCTTCTTACATCCCCCTCCCATGCGCTCCCGCTCCTCCCCTCCCCCTTTGAGCAGAACATTATGCACCGCAACCATCAGGAGCAGCTCGTCTTTTGAGTCGTCTCAAGAGCCCCCCACAATCCCCTCCCATGCTCCTCCCCTCCCCCTTTGAGCAGAACATTATGCACCGCAACCATCAGGAGGAGCTCGCCGAGGCTCACCGCCAGGTATGGTGATCATGCCCGGAATCGCTTTTGAGAATTCTCAAAAGTTTTCAAGTGTGGTTTGGTACCCAAATCTCATGTGTGGTTTTAAGGCTCTGCGTATGCGATCTTTTTTTATGCACCTTGAAATAAAAATGGTGTGCTTTACTGTTTCTGGGTGTCCTTTACTGTTTCTGGCATCTTGGTTCAGCCGGTCGCCTTTCCTCTCTGCATGTGTCCTCTTCACCTGCCGTCCCCTTCACAACGTCCCCAGACTCCCTCCACACCTCCGCTTTCCTTCCCCCCCCCCTCCCTTCACCTTTTTTCCCCTTTTCCCCACCTTCTGCTGCAGCGCGATGCAGCAAAAAGGGAGCTACAGTCGCTGCAGCAGCAGCAACAGCAGCTAGATCTATCCCATCAACCGTGCTCCCTGTCCCCCAATCTCCCCCAACCCCCAATCCCATTGGCTGCAGCGCGATGCAGCGACGGGGGAGCTGCGGGCGCTGCAGCGGCAGCTGGAGGAGGAGGAGGAGGCGCGGGCGGAGGCGGAGAGGAGGCGCGTGGAGAGCGAGAGGCGGCGTGCAGCGGTGGAGCAGGAGAGGAACGAGACGGAGATGGAGGCGAGCACTCTCAAGCAGAAGCTGTCGCGCCTGCAGCGCCAGCTGTCGGAGGTGGGGAGAGGAGAGAGGGGAGGGAGGGGAGGGAGGGAAGGGGAGGTGGGCTGGCTTCGTGCTTCGTTCATTAGCTTTTTGAGAACAGGAAGACAAATGGAAGAAAGGAATGGGGGAAGCGTTTGGGCCTGATTTTTCCGCGCATATTACTCTGATGTCGTGTCTGTAACCCCACGTTCTCCCCTCCCATTCCCGTTGCCTCCCCTATTCCCTCGACCCCTATTTTCCCCCCCTCTCCCCCACCGCTAAGCCACGCGCACAGCACGAGCAAAGCGCAGGAGGAGCGGTTTCTGAGGCACCTGCCAGCCTTGTCTCGCCTCGCTGCCCTCCTCTCTCCCCTCCTCCCCCCTCTCCCTCACAGCTGAATTATGCACGGAGCAAGAGCGGGGAGCATGAGGAGCGGGCGGTGAAGGAGCAAGCAGCTAAGGTGGTGCAGCTGCAGGAGGAGGTGGAGCGGCTGAGCAAGATGGGGCAGGAGGCGGAGCGACTCAGAGCTGAAGTCATGGCCAGGGACGCCAAGGTGAGGGGTGAGGCGTGCGCGTGTGAGGTGTGAGGTGTGAGGCGTGCTGTGTGAGGCGTGCTGTGTGAGGCGTGCGTTTGTTTGCTGATTTCCACTTTCCTGATTTGCCCCATCTGCTTTCTCTGAATCGTTTCTCTGTTTTTTATTTATTTCTTGCCCACTCACTTTCCTCCTCACACCCCATCTGTTGTCTTTCTCACTCTTCCACCCTCCATTCTCTCCCCTCCGTCTCCCCATTCTCTCCCCTCCGTCTCCCCTTTCTCTCCCCTCCGTCTCCCCTTTCTCTCCCTCCACCCACCGCCCCCTCCCTTACCATCGTCCCTTTCCCTTCCTCCCACCTCCTTTCCGTTTGTCTCTCTCTCGCTATAGCTCAAGGCAGAGGAAGCAAGGATAACACAGTTCGTATCCAAGCTGGTGAGACCAACTATCCCTTCTTACCTCACCAAACACTCACCCACTTCTCAACCCTCCTACTCAACTCCTTCCCCTCTCAACTCCCTCCCTCAATTCCCTACCCTCTCAACTCCCTACACTCCCTACTCACTCCTCCCATTCCCCTCACCTCAGCTGCGTCACATTCCATTCCGAAACGCTACCCTCCTCCCTTCCATCCTGCTTCGCCTTGCTACCATCCCCTGCTCCATTCACGCACGCTCTGCCATGCAGGGAGTGTGCTCTTTCAACCTCTATGGCCAAGGGCTTATCTCAATAGCACCCAGACACAGGCAGGGCTTCTGTGGGAGCTTTTTGGGTCGACTCAACAATCGTATGCTCTCTCCAGTTGTATGGCACCTAGTGACAGGGTGTGTGGGTCAGAATGTGGAGGACACAAGGTCAGCTCGAGTTTGTGCAACATTTTTGTCATCCTCCCTGATTTTCCTTCCATTGTGCTGTGCTGTGCTGTGCTGTGCTGTGCTGTGCTGTGCACTGCTCTGCTCTGCTCTGTTGTGCGGTGCTGTGCTGTGCTCTGGTGTGGAGCATGGCATGGGTAACAGAGCGAGTTCACAGAATTGAACGAGACTATGGAGAGGAAACTCAGGGAGCAGAGCGCAATGGAAGCAGCCGTTTACGAGGTGCATACCACTCTCTCCACTTCTGCTCTTTCCTCCTCTTCTCCTCTTCCTCTCTGCTCCTCTTCTCCTCTTTTCCTTTTCTCCACGTCTCTTCACTCCTGTGAAATGCACAACACCTCCCCAGCTACCAAGTAACAGCAACAACGTACCCGCGACGGTGTCTGCAACTAGATACATGCCTGCTCACACGCTATTTTTCCAATCCAAATGATTCTGTAGCTCCTTCAAAATTCCTCTCTCTGCTTTGTCCCCTCTTCTCTCTCCTATCACTTTTATCTCTTCGTTCTTCTCTTTCTCTCTCCTCTCTCTCCTCTCTCATCTCTCTCCCGTCTCTCATCCCTCTCCACTCCCTCCCCTCGCAGGTGACAGCAGCAGACACGAGGAAGCCAGGGCACGTGGTGAGGCTGAGGAAGAAGACGGCCTACAGCTGCGCCGTGTGCAAGCTCGCAGGCAGGGGGCTGTGCTGGCGCTGCACCCACTCCACGTGCGCAGACTACATCCACCCGCAATGCCTCACCAAGGGGTGAACATAGCTAGAGGATCTTGTGAGGCAGGGGGCTTTGCTGGCGCTGCACTCACTCCACGTAAAGGGGGACTACGTCCACCCCCAATGCCTCACCAATGGGTGATCTGAGCGTCCATTTTGAGTGTCCTAGGCTAGACTCTAGAGGATCCTGTTGGGCAGGGGGCTGTGCTGGCGCTGCACTCACTCCACTTGTTGGAACTACGTGCACCCGCAATGCCTCACCATGGGTTGACAGAAGTGTGTTTGAGGTTCCTAGAGCGTGAACGCTCAAGGCAAGGCAAAGGGCTGTGCTGCTGCTGGCGCTGCACTTACGGTACTCCATGTGTGGGCTGGGGGGGACTACTGGTACATGCACACGCACTGCCTCACCAAGGGGTGACCCTGGTGGGCGTCTCATAATCCATGACTAGGGGAACTTGTTAGGCAGGGGGGGTTGTACTGGCGGTGCACATTAACCACGTGCAGGGAGGGACCATGGCACATGCATGCACGCCACATGCTCTGCCTCACCAAGGGGTGATTTGGGAGAGTGTTTGTGAGCATCCCAAGACACGAGTGTTTCAGGCAAGGCAGGCTTTCTGGGGAAGAGACTGTGCTGGTTTTCTGGCGCGGTGCTGGTGCTGGTGCTGGCGGCGCTGTGCTGGTCCTGGCGCTGCACAGAGTCTGGTCTGGACTCCAGTGCTAGGAGGTACAATGTATAGTACATGTGTGGGCTGAATACCATATCCAGTGCCTCACTAAAGAATTATTTGAGAGAGCATTTTAAGGGTCATGGAGCAGGAGCATCAATCCCATTAGCACGTGACGTGAGCCTTGTTGTCAAGTAGAGGGCTGTACTAGCATTGCGAGTGATCTATCTGTATTGTGGGGAATACCGTAAACTCTATACCTGCCTGCCTCACCAGGGTTGTTGCCTGCTGCTGCTGCTGCTGCTGTGGCTGCTACTATGGCTGCTGGCGCAGTGAATCCAGTGCCCTTTTGAGACTAAAGCAGTGAGTTTCGTGCAGTGCAAATGGATAATTTCGTGTCGCTTGTTTTGTTTTATACCACAAAATTAGGCACTCTAAGGGCGTATTCCTACGACCTCCTATCAAGAAACCTCCTATCAAGAATGTAGTTTGACATCGTGTACGTTATAAAACACCAGTTATCAAGATTGGAATGATTGAGCGAACCAATAGAAATGCTCGTAGGGTGTCGTGTGAACGTGATGACTTCCCGGAACACGGTTCCATCTAACGAACAGACGTCAGGCCAGTGTATGCGGCAGTCACCAATTCGTGCCATGCTGGACGATGTGGCGGTCGTGCGCTGCGCGCGAACGTGCACGGAATGCAAATTTTGGGAGCCATTTTCACACCTGGCGCCATGCGACACGTCTACCACCCCCAGCACGTCAAGCACTTCACGAGCCCTCTCATCCAAACACACCTGACACAGAGCACCCAACACGCCATCTTGCTCTATATACATTGGTATTCCAGCCATTCCTTGGCGCGCAAAGCACCGTTCATCCAACAACATGGCCCGAAAGCGTAAAGTAGTCAGCCAGGCAAACGAAGAATCATGGCGTCCGGAGGATCTTGCCTATGTGGCGTGGATGAACGCTGAACTCGCGACAGGTAGACCCACTGCAAAGCCTTTGCGTAATGTGGGCCAGCCACCCACAAAGTCACCCGTCACACCTCGCGCCACGCCCGGGACCAGTTTCGTCGGTCTGCACGTCGAATATGACACTGACGAGGACGACACGGACAAGGAGACTGCGGATGGCGACGACGACGAGGATTTCGAGTTCGAAGAACCCGACGAGGCGTGCTGCGGCGACGCGGAATATGGTGGCCCGCGTGATGATCGCCCCGTGGCGCCGGCCGCGGCAGCAGAGAAACGAGGCTCCAGTAGCCGCGTCGAGGCTCGCGGGAAGGGAAAGGGCAGTCACCAGGCTGGCGCGAAGAATGCCGACTGTTTGGGCACAGGTCCGAAATCGGAATGGACGGCCAAAGAGTTCACCATATTGTGCGCCGCGCGATGGTTCACCAAGGAGGAGCTCAATCAAATGACGGGAAAACAGGGGTCGCAGTATTGGTTGCGCCTCATCGAACACATTAAGAAGAAGCATCCCGATTGGTGCAGGAATGCCACCGCCTGCACCAATCAGTGGAAGCGACTTAAATTGCTGTGGAAGCAGATCGAGATTGGGGATTCGGCATCTGGAGGCGGAACGGTGATAAAGCCTCCGTGGTGGCAGTGGATGGTGCTGTTCTACGAAGACACTGCTGCGGCCGAGCCTCACGCTCTGGATGGTGGCAGTGCAGTTAACGTGACAGTGGACCCTGGCGTCAAGATTACCAAGCCGGAGACTACTGCTGCCACAACAACGCCTGGTATGTGTGTTGAATGCGAGCCCAGTTTATAGCAAGTTGAAAATCTGAGCGTGTTAAAATTCGGAATACGATGTAATGTCGCTTACACCGCAAAAGAATACCTGATTGTTCTGCTATTACACCTCAATCCCGTAACCCTTCCCGCTCTTATCCCTAGTTCGAAACACCCCGCCCAGTGCACGACGCCGTATTAATGAGACGGCGACCATGGCAGCCGCGCAACTGTTGGCTGACACATTCACCAAGTGCTCCCAGGAAGGCGTAACACAAATCACCGGAGTGATACGCGAGTGGATGGCCTCCCAACAGTCAACAACAAGCCAGTCCGCTCAACTTCGGAAGCAACCCCGCGGATGAATCAGGGCCGACCGGCGACAATACCGACGCCGGTGATGAAGTCACTGACGACGTGGAGGTGTGGCATCGCCGCTCCGACGTCGCTTAAGGTATTCCACATGCAGCGCCTCCCCGAGCCGCTTCCTCCTCTCCTTGAGATCGTGTCTAGTGACGGCTAGATCGGCGCACCAATTATACCGTGCAAGTTCTCCTCTCGTCCACCATGGGTCTTGGTTGATCAGCCGCGCGGCCCACGTGTGATTGATTGTTCTCATCCTGGAAGTTGCCATCTTGATCCCCATGTTGTGCAGTATGATAACACAGCTGGCGCCGGCAAGGACCCGCCACAACGCACACTCGTGGCGGCCGGCAAATAGGCGGTACCGTCCTTTCAGCGCACCAATGGTTCGCTCGACGGGCATACGAGTCGCGGACTGGCAGTAATTGAAGGTTTGCTCCCACTCGAGCATGAGGCGGCCGGTGGGAGCATGCAATAGCGTCAAGCAGTAGCTACGGAGCGGGTAGGCGGCATCTCCTACCAGCTGGTACGGTGCGAGGTCACCTCTTTGTAGTAGCTCGTAGAGGCTAGACAGGACGAACACCCGCTGGTCATGCGCGGTGCCTGGATAGCCTATTAGGTAATCCCAGATGGTTCCTTTAGCGTCGCATGTCACTTGTAGCTGCACGGCATATTGTGATTTCCGCGTGTAATATTCCGCCCGATGCCCCTCCATCCCCCGAATCTGAACATGTGTGCCGTCAATAGCACCTACAACCATTGGTACCCCTTTAAAGCCCGAGGTCAGCATGGTAAATTTTCAAGTTATGTGGGGTTGAAACAGTCTGGCGAAAATAATAATATCGTGTATTTCGAAAATGTGTGTGGCGGGCGAAAGCGAATTCAGGAGGCAGGAAGAGGGGGAGCAGAGGGGGAGGGAGTGGGGAGAGAGTGACGCTCATCACTTGTGCCAAGGGATCCAGTCATCGAAGAACTTCTGCATGCGCGTGCGTGTTGCTATGCACCGTGTAGAGAAGGGAAGGGGATGGGGGGAAGCAGGGAGCGGGATGGGGGGAAGCAGGGAGCGGGATGGGGGGAAGCAGGGAGCGGGATGGGGGGAAGCAGGGAAGGGGATGGGGGGAAGCAGGGAAGGGGATGGGGAGAAGCAGGGAAGGGGATGGGGGGAAGCAGGGAAGGGGATGGGGAGAAGCAGGGAGCGGGATGGGGGGAAGCAGGGAAGGGGATGGGGGGAAGCAGGGAAGGGGATGGGGAGAAGCAGGGGACGGGGGGAAGCAGGGAAGGGGATGGGGAGAAACAGGGAAGGGGATGGGGGGAAGCAGGGATGGGGATGGGGGGAAGCAGGGAAGGGGATGGGGAGAAGCAGGGAAGGGGATGGGGGGAAGCAGGGATGGGGATGGGGGGAAGCAGGGAAGGGGATGGGGGGAAGCAGGTGAGGCAAAGGAGAATATATTGGGGGGTAAACGGAGCTGGTGGGAGTGAGGGAGGTTGGTAATAAAAAAAAGGGGTGTAAACAATTAGGGGGAAGTGAGATCGACAGGGAGAGGGAGTGAGGGGAGTACCCGCTCTCACCCTCTGTCTCTCACTCTCTGGGACACCCCCCCCCCTGTTCCCCCCCCTCCGTCCTTCCCCTGCTGTCTCTCCACCTCTGCCCTTCACCTTCTGTCTCTCACTCTCTGCCCCTCCCCCTCTGTTCCTCCCCCTCCGTCCTTCCCCTTCTGTCTCTCCCCGTCTGCCCTTCACCCTCTGTCTCTCCACCTGTGTCCTTCCCCCCGTGTCTCTCCCCCTCTGTCCTTAGCGAAAAAGGGAGGGAGAGAGGGAAGAGAGAGAGAAAGGCAAGAGAGAGAGAAAGGGAAGAGAGGGAGAGGGAGAGAGGGACAGAGGAATGAAGGTCGAGAGCAAGGTAGGGAGGGACGGAGGGAGAGGAAGAGAGGGGAGAAGGAGGGATGGAGGGAGGAAGCTTGGGCGAAATGAAGAGGCGGGGGCGACGAGAAGAAGCGCGCGCGGGCGACGAGGAGAAGCGCGCGCGGGCGAGGAAGAGAAGCGCGCGCGGGCGACGAGAAAAAGCGCGCGCGGGCGACGAGGAAAAGCGCGCGCGGGCGACGAGCAGAAGCGCGCGAGGGCGACGGTTCAGGGTGCGCGCGCGGGCGACGAGGAGAAGCGCGGGACGGTGGGAATCGCGGGCGACGAAGGAAAGCGAGAGAGACGAGTGGGAGATATCGTGACCCGAGCAAGTGTGGGCGACGAGAAGAAGTGCGGGTGTCGCTTTTCCGCCAGTCTCACGAGGGTAACGCGCTCTCGTCATACTAAATCCCTTGAGTGTGGCAACTCATGCCATTTACGAGCATTGCTCGTGTCGTGCGCTAGCACGGGTAGCGTCCCTGGCATGCGAAGGAGGTACGGTGAGCGCATGGCTTGAATTTGTGCTGGTCAGCGATTGGTCAGACAGCGTGAGTGACTCGTGTTGCAAGGAGAAAGTCGCCTTTACTTGAGCTAGCTTCTATCGCCCTGCCGCGCGTTTCCTAGTACTGTCCCTATTCTAGCAGACTAGTACTACTTGGTCTTCAAGATATGTGAGGTGTGCACACGGCAATATTGTGGGCGATGGTCGGAGGTGTTGTGCGACTGGGCACGGAAACCAATCAGGAGTGAGGGTCGCAATAGGTTTTCCCTGAGTCGCGAGTTGTTTTTCAAACCAGAGAGGGTTACCCTGTTTTTTGCGACTTCAAGTTCAAGAATCTTGAACTTGAAAAATACCATGCTGTACCCGGGCTTTAATACTCCGAAACTCTTCCGCCATGTCACGCATTTCATCCTGTGTCGGGAAACGTACCCAGGCCGCCTTGAACACGGTGGGAAAGTTTAAGAGGAAGAGGTCTACGAGGCGATGGCATAGGGTTTTTGGCACACCGAACCAGAAAGCCAGGTCCACGTACGCCATCGCGCTAGCGAAATACTTGATTGGTATGAGCACGGCCACTGTAATTGGGATGCGATGGCGCTGGATGACGGGGTTGAGCACGTGAGCCATTCCTTGGCATACGTATTCCAGAATAGCGCGATTAATGCGGAAGAGGTCGATGAACACCTCCTCGGGCATGGTCGCCATTTCGTCCTCCCACACGCCTAATCGGCGCCGCCGTAAGCTTCGGTTTCGAGCACGCAATTCACTCCTCGTCTCTACCAAGGAATCTTCTTCCGCATTGCTTATATGCTCGAGAAACTTCATGCACGACTTGAGCGCACTGTGAAGGAATGTGTCGTAATAAAAGGCGTGCCATACTATTAACAACCTAGGCAGGAAAGGAACATCCGCCATAGTCGGAGGTTGTAGGCACGATTGGCAGGATTGCCGTAAGTTGCGAGTATTTGTACTACTTCTACGAATAGGTGTGAGGGCTTGGCGTGGATGGGCATGTGTGGGCGTTGGTAGGTTGACTACCCTTGGCACACTACGTGCTTACGTGGTGCTCTTTTGATGTGAACCGGAGCGCCTGATCAAGCTAGCTGGGTCGCAGCGAGCCACATCAGCGTTTGTTTTGTGTCGCACATGTGGGGAAACCGTCAAGTTTTGTTGATAGGAGGTTGCGCGAGCTTGCAAATTTACAGGCGAGAACTACATTCTTGATAGGAGGTTTCTTGATAGGAGGTCGTAGGAATACGCCCTAAGAGCGTGTTCCTGCACCTCATATCAAGAGAACCTCGTATCAGGCTCACACTGAAATTTCCCCTAAACCCAAAATCTCTCGCTAGTTTTACCAGGCAAAAAGTACATTCTTGATACGAGGTTTCCTGATACGAGGCCGTAGGAACACGCCCTAACAAGCATGCATGAGACAGCTAGTTCTGGCACATGACAATCAAGGTTTTAATAGGTCATCTGTAGGCAGTATAAACTGCAAGCAATTGCTTGCAACAATTAGACAAAACCTTGAATATGTGTACGCCCACTTATCTTCTACATGCTCCCCTCAATAAGAGGGGAAATACAAATTTGAATGTCCAATGCTCTTTAAACACCTGCTATAAGCCTTTTAGAGAGATGCCTCAATTAGGAGCTGCTACCTTCGACAGTGTACGTCCACTGCTCCTCAGGTGCAAGTAGCAAACGCTTTGTGAGCCACCCATGGGCGCCCAGTTGCTGCAGGAACTCTCCTATGCATGCGTCTGCATGCTGCCCACTCTCCCACACCAGCTGCTGTAGCTCCCTGGGAGATGCACGCCCGCTGCTGCTGCTGCTGGTAGTGTCGCTGCTGTTGCTTCTTCTGCTCCTGCTGGTGGTGGTGGTGGTGGTGCTGCTGCTGCTGCTCCTATCCTGAGGATCAAAGCTGGTGGTTGAGAGGGAAGACAGGGCGGTCTGCAGGAAGCCAACCTGAATGGAAGGGAGAGACAGACGGAAGGAGACATGGGCGATGGATGGAGGATGGAAAACGGAGGGATGGAGGGATGGAGGATGATGTGAGGGAGGGGAGCGAGGACGGCACCTGCAGGATACAGCAGCAGGTGCAGCAGTGTCATGAAGCTCCAAGCTTGAGTAGAGAGGTTCAAGACACATTGGATACAACTGGTTTTCTAGAATCCTCAAAGGGAGACTTAGTAGCTGCAGGACGGATTCGTAAGGTGCAAGACACCCATGTGATGAAGGGGTGCCTGAACTTGTGATGGCGGATTCTGGATACTAGAGATTGATTTTGACTGGTAGGTAAATCAGATCTTCTGTAGCGTGTCTTTCAACGTCCTCGTTGATCTCTTTCATTGCATCGTCCCATTAAAGACATCATTCACGGTCCATCATCCCTTGCGCACTGGTGCGTGCATGCATGTGATGAGGAGAGCAACGCTAGACACCCAAGAAAGAAGAAAAGTGGGACCTCCATACACCATTGACAAGGGCCACAACGGAATGGAGAAAGCATAAATCCTCATTTTTCTTCAACATCATAAGCAACAAGAGCGCCTGCTCAATTATGCCCTCCTCCATTCTATGTTGGCTCACGCCGATAAGCAGGCGTGAAACCAACAGCGACGTCCACTACCGGCCCTCCGCGTTCGCGTTATCGCTCCGAGACTCCACAAATTACAGTTTTCATCCCGGCAGTGCCGCTCACCACGGAAGCTATAAAACGCTATTCGCCATCTCACGAACGACGATTTATAGCTACCGTGCTGAGCGGCACTGCCAGTATGAAATATGTAATTCGTACCGTCTCAGAGCGACAACACGAACACGGAGGGCCAGAAGTGGCCGTCGCTGTTGATCCCGCGCTTGCTCAACGGCGTGTGAATTTCTAACACCGAATGGTGAAAAACATTATTGGCGCAGGTGCTCTTGTTGTTTATGATGTTGAAGTAGCTTTCTCTACTTTCTCCATTCCGCAAAGGGTGGTGAGGGGAAAAGGGGGAAAGAGGAGAACGAGGGAGGAGGGAAGCAGACGATGGAGATTGATTTTGAGAAATTTCAAAATCGATTCCCATCTGATGAAGTGGTGCCTGTGATGCCGGATAATAATGCTAGATGCTATTTGACTGCATGGAAGGAGAAGGTAATTTTTACTCGAATCAAGAGGCATTCGTACCTGCAGCAGCGCCTTCAGTTTGTCTTGCGTGGAAGCAGAAGAACTGAAGGATATGAGAATGGAGAGCGGAGGCAGCACACACGTCGAGGGAACCCGAGGAGGAGGCGCAGGGGGAGGAGGAGGGAATTCAGTGTGGGGTTGGTGGAGCGGAGGGGAGCGGCGGTGGGAAATCAAAGAGGGAAGTGCAGAGAGGTGCACTTGTAGTGGGTTGATGACCCTTGTCTGCAGCGCTTTCACTGCCCCTTGGGCTAAGGTGGTTCCCTGCAGTTGTCTTTTGAGTCGAGCAAAGTCACATAGGGCTGTTTGCATGGCCGTGAGAAGAAGCAACAGCTTGCTGTCTCTTTTTCGCACGCTGATCACGTATGGAGGCGGCATGTTCTTAGGAGGAGGCATGCCTGCAGGCAATTGGTTCTGTGAGGTTTGAGAATGGTGCGGAGCAGTGCTTGTGGGAGGGGGAGGAGTGCTTGTGTGGAAGAAAGGTGTTTGAGTATCACCAGGGGGAGAGGGCGTGGTGGGTTTGTGGGAGGGGGAAGCAGGCATGTGGCTATGGGTGGGTGGAATGGGGGAGACAGTGGTGTGGGTGGCGGTTGTTGGTGCTGTTGCTGACACTGATGCTGCTGCTGCTTCTGCTGCAAGCAATGCTGATGGTGCAAGTGTGGGTGCTTGCTGCTGCGGTTGTAGCAGGTGAAGCAGGGATTGTTGGTCGAGGTGATGAGAGAGGAGAGGAACCACTCGCACAGGGGGGTTGAATGGGGAGGCTGCAGCAGAGGGAAGGGGAGAGCGCGTGGGGGGGTTGAGAAGACGAGAGTGGGTAACAAGGGGAAGGGAGAGTGAGACGGGCAGCAGTGAGAGGGAAAGGCAAGGGGAGAAAATACAAAAAAAGGGGGAACGGGAAAGAGAAAGCGCGCCGAGCAATGGGAAGAAGGAGAGTGGTGAGAAAACACGGCAGTGCTGGCAATGCTGGCAGTGCTGGCAGTGCTTACTCCAGTGCGGCGGAAAGAAGAGGCTCTCTCTTGTGGTGAGCTCGGCAGGGCAGGGCATTGCACCGCCTGCCACCCAGTCAGACACTAGCATCTGCACTCGCTCCTGTTGTGAGTGGGATGCACGGGGAAGGGCGCAACAATGAGGAGGTGAGTTTTGAGAATTCTCAGAGGAAGAGAGGCAGGAGAGGAAAGAGGGAAGGGCTTTTCGCCACATGCCACACTGCCACCCAGTCAGATACTAGCACCTTTTTGAGGCGCCTCAAAAAGCACCTGCACTCGCTCCTGCTGCCGATGGTGAGGTGCGTGTGCGGAGCGTGGGAGCAGGGAGGGACTTTTGAGAATTCTCAATAGTCATACCAATATCGATGGTGCGGTGCGTGCGCGGAGCGTGGGAGCAGGGAGGGACAAGGGGTGAGTCGGAAGACAGGTACGAGGGGAGGCAGGGAAGGGGCGCACTCGCTCCTGTGGTGAGACGTGCGTGTGGGGAGATGGGGAACAGGCGAGGGGAACAGGCGAGGGAGGCAGGCGAGGGGAACAGGCGAGGGGAACAGGCAAGGGGCTGAGATGCCAAAAGGTGGGGAAACTGACCAGGGCAGGGCACTGCTCACCTTGGATTGACACCCAGTTAAACACCACCAGCATCTGCACTCGCTCAACAAGCCATCCTTCCCTCCAGCACCCTCGCCTACCTTGCTCAGCGAGCGCAGCGCCACAACTTGTTCTTCCCTTCTGCGCTGTTTAATCTGCCCCTTCTCCTCCTCCCCTCCCCCCCCCCCCCCTCCCTCTCCCTGAACCTGAACAAGGGTTTAGGGTTCAATCCAGCACACCCCCCTACCTTGTTCAGCGAGCGCAGCGGCACAGCTTGCAGCTCCCTTCGAATGGCTAAAAGGTCGGTGATTGCGAGCAGTGGGAAGAGCAGGAGCGGCAGGCGCGCGTGCAGTCTGGGAGAGGGGGTGGAGGAGAGGGGGGTGGAGGGGGCGGGTGGGGTGGGACGAGCGCACTGAAAGATGGATGCATGCAGAATTTGGGTGACTTTTAAGTCGACTCAAAAGTCACCCCATGGGCCTGACATGCTTGTATGGATTGTGGTGACTTTTGAGTCGACTCAAAAGGTGGGACGAGCGCACTGAAAGATGGATGCATGCAGAATTTGGGTGACTTTTAAGTCGACTCAAAAGTCACCCCATGGGCCTGACACGCTTGTATGGATTGTGGTGACTTTTGAGTCGACTCAAAAGGTGGGACGAGCGCACTGAAAGATGGATGCATGCAGAATTTGGGTGACTTTTAAGTCGACTCAAAAGTCACCCCATGGGCCTGACACGCTTGTATGGATTGTGGTGACTTTTGAGTCGACTCAAAAGGTGGGACGAGCGCACTGAAAGATGGATGCATGCAGAAATTGGGTGACTTTTAAGTCGACTCAAAAGTCACCCCATGGGCCTGACACGCTTGTATGGATTGTGGTGACTTTTGAGTGACTCAAAAGGTGGGACGAGCGCACTGAAAGATGGATGCATGCAGAATTTGGGACATCTTCCAGTGAGCAGCACTTGCGTAGGAGTAGGTTTAAGCAAGTAGGAAAGAGAAAGAGAGAGAAAGATGGATGCATGCAGAATAGGTACGGGTGTGATGCGACGGAACGAAGGGGAGACGATGTGTTGACAACTGAGTCTTACGCACCACTTGTTGTGTTAGTTACCCTCACCTAATGGCGCCTTTAAGGCACCAAACGGCGTTTTTGAGTCGCCTAGAAGTCGCTTGCTGTGCTAGCCTCACCTCAAGGCGTTTCCAGTGCTTCACTCCCACCCCCACACCAACCCACAGAAAGCAACCCACAACAACCCCACAGCACCCATAGCAACCCTGGTGTGACGGGCTAGAAGAGGAACGCACTGGTGGTGGTTGCGTGTGAGTGCCCCCAGCGCCACTGCCACGGCCAGCCCTACGTTGTCCGATACCACTGCTTGCGCCTGCATGCATGCACACAGGCAGGCATGCAGGTAGGTAGGTAGGTAGGTAGGTAGGTAGGTAGGTAGGTAGGTAGGTAGGTAGGTAGGTAGGTAGAGATGCATGCATGCACGCATGCAGACATGCAGACAGGCAGACATGCATACACCATGCACCATGCACCATGCACCACGCACGCACCATGCACCACGCACCATGCACCACACAGAAAGAACAGATTCACGAGACAACTGAAGAACCTTCAGAGGGGCCAGTGTTGATGCGCCTCAGAAGCACAGATCCACGAGATGATAGCCGCACATGCAAATGGGTTTGTGGGATGACAGACTGAGGGAACAGACACCCCACACACCCGCATGCATGGGAACCTTGCTGAATGCACACTTGCCTAGCCTGTTACCCATTACCATCACATTACCACCATCACACCACTGTGTATCGAATGTGAACTGCACTGCACTGCACCACACCACATATCACACGAGTTCACTACACCCACACAGCTACCACCGGCCAAAGACAGACTCCCCCCAGTTCTCTAGTTACGAGTTCTCTAGTTACGAGTTCTCTAGTTCCCCCCAGACAGACTCCCCTGCCAGAGTCCCACCTGGCCCACCATCTCCCCTCCCCCTCTCCCCCGTTCCCACGCCCCCCCTCTTTTTTCCTTGTCCACTTAATGCCCCCCTTACCTGCCCTGCCCCAGGGACCCCTTCCCCACCTGCCCCTTAGCGGAGATGTCCCCGAGGTTATCCGCCAGGGCAAAGGTGCGATGGATGGGCGGCTGGGGGGGCGGAAGAGGGGAGGAGGGGCGGGGGGGAGAGAAAGGGAGGGGAGGGGAGGGGGAGTGTGACACGGTGGAGTGGAGGGCGGGGAGGAGGGGGGGTGGGGGACAGGGGGGGGAAGAAAGAGGAAAGAGGAGAAGGAGCTACAAAACCAGCAACAGCACCCGAAACGGGAATAAACACCAAGAACCCCAGCAGCAGGCATGGCACACGGCACGGCACACTCACAGTTGTGGCAACGTAAGCAGCGAGCCCAATGGACTTGCCGATGTTGGCAGCGGTGGCGAGCGGTAGAAAGAGGTGCGGGAAGTGTGGCGTGAGAATGTCCAGGCCTAGACTCGCCGAGAACAGCGCTGACGTCTGAAAGCGCACCCTCTGGACAAGGGAGGGGGTGAGGTGAGGAGGGAGGAAGGAAGAAGCAGTGAGGGAGGCCAGGGAGGCCGGGGAGGGGTGTTGTGAAACAAGACTGGCTTGAATGTCTAGCCCTAGACTCTCCGTGAACAACGCTGATGCCTGAAAGCGCACCTTTGGACAAGGGAGGAGGGGGCGACGGTTGCGAGAAGGAGGGAGGGTGAAGAGATTGCTGAGGGTTTAACAGAAGTGGGTTTGACTCAGGCTTGTGAAGGGACGGCTATGAGAATCTTCAGCGTATTTTACTAACAGCAGCCCTCTGGCAAGGAGCAGGTCCCACCAGGGGAGGGCAGCAGAGAAATTCAATCCAGAGAGTACACACCGATATTCAACTGACAGAATGTACACACCGATGTTTAGTCAGGCGAAAGCAGCAAATGTGCACCAGACATGCGGCCTATGCTCACGGTTAGAATGTTCACCAACCGACCGACCGATCAACCATCCAAGCATCAACCTATCGAGCCAGTGAACCACCCACCCATCCACACCACACTAGACCAAATCAACCAACCAGACCAACGGACCTTCAAGTTGCAGTCAAACGACCCGCCAGTGCTCCCCACAAACCACAGCCGCCTCAGGCCGAAAGAGGGAGGGGGAGGCGAGGTTGGGGGAACAAGCCATCCACCCGTCCACTGAACCAAATCAACCATCCACCCAACGGAACGGACCTTCAAGTTGCAGTCAAACGAGCCGCCAGTGCTCCCCACAAACCACAGCCGCCCCAGGCGCCCCAGCCCATCCTTCAGCACCCACTGCAGCGCCGCCGCCGCCGGCACCGACCGCCGCGCACCCACTCCAACCGCTCTCAACAGCGACTGCGTCGCCATGACATGCATGCATGAGCTGAGAGTCCTTTGCACAGCCTTCCAGCGCATGTACTCCCAGTATCCATCCGCCACGTCCCTTGGCAGCAGCGCTGCACGCGCTGCTTCCTCTATGGGAGCCCACACTTGTGTTTTCCACGCGTCGCTGCATCGCCTGAGCATGGCTGCTGGGAGCAAACACGCCCTCACGCCCTCATCGTTCCTCGACCTCCCTCGCTGCCGCTGCTGCGGCTGCGGCTGCGGCTGCTGCTGCTGCCTGTGTGACTGGCTGAGTCTGAAGTGCCGATCGTCCTCGTCTTCTGTGCCACGTGCTGCCACCACGCACCTCGCCTCGCGAGCATTCCATGCCAGCTGTCGCTGCCGCTGCCCACTCTTACTCTCCCATATGGGTAATAGCTCCACCTTCTCCTCCTCCCGCTTCCCCTTCTTCCCTGTCTCCCCTTCTTTCTCCTCATACTGTTCATACTCCTCATACTCCTCACACTTCTGCTCTTCTTTCCCTTTACCCACCGCCATGTCATTCTTTGAGTTATTTACCCCTGCATCTCTTGCTTTCTCGTCTGCGCCTGCCCTTTTCCAGCCCATGCTGTTCCGAGCCTGATCATGCCGAACCTGCGTTCCCCGGGCCTTCCCTCTCCAAGCCTGGCCCGGCCAAACCAGGCGACGATCTTTCCAAACCCAAGAGATTAGCCTCGGGACAGAGGCTCGGCACTCCACTGCTGCTGCCGAAGCTGTTACTGACGCCATTGCTACTGCTGGTACGGCTGCTACAGCTGCCACAGCTGGTGTTACTGGCGTTGCTGGCATCACAGCAGCAGCAGTTGTTAAGGATCGTGCCATTCCTATCAATGCTCTCCTCTGTGCATGAAAGACACAATCTAGCTCCCCTCCCGCTCCCCAAACCTCCCCCCGAAGCTTCCCAATTCCACTCGCCTTCCGACCATCCCGGCGACTTCCCCTGCTTACACTCAAAACCCTGCTCGTCCCATCCCCCGCGCCCAAAATCTCGAACTCCCCGCACCTCAGGGCCTCCGCAACTAGAAACCCGCCTCTTGCTCCCTTCTTTCCTCGTTGCGTTTGAGATTTTTCCAAAGCAGCTTCATCATTCAACCGCTCCTCTCCTGACCGTCCCTCTCCTCCAGACCTCTCTTCCCTCTTCTCCTCAAAACCCCCCTGAAAGCCTCCGTCAATTACGGGCATTGGCCCGTCAAACCCGACACTCCGCGCAAGCCGCCCAAATCCCAGCACCGCCGACTCGCGTCGCAGCGCACGTCCATCCTCCTTTTCCTCCCTCGCCGCCGCAATTCCACCAACGTCTCTCCCGCCCATTTCCTCCCTGCACGCGTCTTGACGGCGGCACAATTCACAAAGCTGCTTCGTCGCATGCGCTCCCCATTTCCCGCTACAATCACAATCGGGAACCGTCATAATAGCGAGTCGGTGGTTAATTTGATCCACCGAACGGCCTCTAGGTCTACTTTTAACCCCAAGCGTCCGTCTGCCTGGAGTTTGCGTTCCTGGCGCAAGGGGGGATTGCTCGCTTGGCGCAAGCGGGAAGTCTCCGCATGGCGCAAAATCTCGCTCGGCACAAAAGGTAGGCGGAATAGCGCCTCCGGATGCGCCATGGCGATCATTTTTTTCCGCCGAAAAAACCGGCGGGGATGTGGGAAACGAAACCGCGGGTGGGGCGCTTCCACTTCCGACAGCGGAGCAACGAGCGGCGGAAAGTATCGGTGCGGAAGAGAGAGCGGTATTTTGTATCCGTTGAAACTGTTGGAAGTGCCCGGCGGTAGCGGCGAAAAACGCGGGAAAGTGAGCGAAGGGCGAAGTAGAATGTTTCCCGGATGGAGTGGAATCACGCACCGGCGAATCGGCAACAGGAGAAAGTGGTTTGCGCATCGACTCGTTTACCGGTTGCGATAATGGTCGCGATGCTAATCGAAGCCGGGTGGAATTACAACTGGATGAGGATGGCATGACGACGTTTTCGTTCTGAGACTAACGAGGAGGGAGCACTGGCACCGTCACTTTCGTGAAAATGACGTTTAATCAGGGATGCTTGAAAATCCGCTAAGCCTGCTTCCATCACCTGCGGAGTGTGTACATGAAACTTTACTGCAAGACTAGACGGCAAGATATCTTAGACATTGACTAGAGTGCTTGAAAAGCTGTGAAGTGGTGGGTGAGAGACGGAAACAGAGTGAGACAGACTCTGATGAGAGCAGGGCTTGTTTGGTTGGGGGCAGGGAGGGGAGGGGAGGGGAGGGGAAGGGGGCTTGTTTGTGTGTTTCGTTTCGTCTCATGTTTGAATGTGTGGTGGTGAGTGATGAGCTGAGTGCGCTCCGGAAGTGATGGCGGACCAAGAAAGTCGTTTCTTGGTGACGCCTCGGTTCAGGGCTTTTCTCAGTTCATTATAACCACACCAGTCTCATGATACGTGTACAGTACAAACCGAAACACTACACCTAGTCCGCGGTAATTTAACCACCCGAACTTTTTTGTTTCAAACATCCTGAGTGCATTTTAGTTCAAAGGAATGGGCACCCAGAGACTTCGGGGCTATTATAATACAGCCGGGAAGTTTTCCGTTTGACAAAACCCACACTTAGTGCTCCAAGATAGGGGGCGCATTGGAATTAACAGAGTTGCAACTTCCGTGATCTCGCAAAGGGTACGCTTAAATATACCCTCATGAATTTTTTCAACTACCCTTGTATTCAATATTGACCATGGAGTAGTGCCCCCCCGTGGTTAAGATAGCGGCGGTTAGGACGTGGTCCCAATCGACTTTGATCGGTTCGATCAAAGGCGATCAATAACTTCTAGGAAGGCAGGAATCCAGTTTCAGGCAATCAGGGGCAATCAGCTGATCGCAATCAGCTGATCGCTCCAACTCGATCAACCGCCTCAAGCAACCCGATCAATCACGATCAGACTCAATCAGTCCCGATCACTTGATTGCTTGTGATCGGGGGCCTGGACGACGTTCGCGAAACGTTACACAGTCGACTAGAGGTCTCGAAAATGTTTCGCTCATGCCTACGGAATGGCGAGAACAGTATGCGAAGGTTCTAGACTGACATTGTCTGCAACGCGATACATTGCGACGTTACCACGATGCATTGCGTTCGCCAGTCTCGCCAACGTTTGAAAGAAAATACCAGGTAATTGTGTCTCAATTATCATACAGGCTCGTGGAGTTTTCGAGGAAAATCAGCTTTGATCGAGCGGCGCGGGAAAAGCGATCACAAGCAATTCGAACCAATCCAACCCGATTCAATCCGATCCGATCAAGGTCGATTGGGCCCACGTCCTTAAAATACCGTGGACTAGGTGTAGCGCATTGTGCATGGGTTGGCCTGATGAACTTAGTTTTGACCGCCGAAAGGCTTGACTACCTCTTTCTAGCCAGTCACCAACTCGCCTTGCCAACCATCTTCCAGTGATAGGCCCACGTGTACTAGCTGCATGAGCAACCCAGCGCGGTGCTGACCTCAGATGCTAGGGCATGTGCCCTGCATGGGTTTACCTGCACAACAGTACAATTCCAGACCCACTTGTTTACCCCGTAAGAATGTCACTGATTTGGTTGGGATTTCCATGAATAGGAATAGGAATAGAAATATATTAAGATCTTAATCAGATACATACAAAACACAGAATAACTGAGAATACGGCTAAGCAAGCCAACGACCGTTTGGCGTACATGATTGAACACGTTATTCTCCTATCCTAGCGGACAGCCACCAGATTTGCTGGGGAGTATTCTGTGACGAACCGAGTAACAAGTTAGGGCGGACGAAAGGGGTTTCCAAGCAGCCAAGAGGTGCGAAGGTCCGGATGGATTGTGGGGGAACCATCAGCATAAAAAGATATGAACCGTAGCCGGCCAGCCGCCTGAATGCGAGACGTTGTTTTCTGTTGTTTCTTGGCAGATTGTTTAGAGCGTCTCCAGATGAATATTTTGAAGGCTAAGAGAAACTGCGCGATGATGAGTTGCAGGGTCTCAAAGCGGGAGGTAACAACGTTATTGGATCTCTGAGCACAGCGGGTGTTCCAGAGGGCCTTGGCAGCAGCACCGACCAGTAGGCTCCACGGGGCAGTCCGGTCAGATCGAGAAGGAAGCCGGAAGAAGATGTGTTTGTCAAACTATATGCCTATGTTATAATGATATGTAGGCTTTAGTGGGGTAGCTAATGTAGGGTATAGGTTTTGTTACTTGTACCCAACTCTCTCGATAGTCATCACACATTTTCTTCCCTTTACTTTCAAAATGGTATTAAGAGCAAATAGGTCCTTAGGACCGTTTTAGGACTGTTTTTCAGGGCCCACCAACCGTTTTCCGCCGATTACCGCGTTACCCCGCCCCCTGCCTACACTGCCCTGAGTCGCGCAGCCCTCGCGCTCGCCTCTGCTGGCCCTCGTGCAGCCCGCTAGCATCCCGCCCGCTGCCTCGTCAGCCCCGCGCGTCGCTCGCCAGCTGCCTCGTCAGGCCCGCGCGCCGCCCCGCAGCCCTCGCGCTGCCTTCGACTGCCCCGCGCGCCGCTCCGCAGCCCTCGCGCTGCCTTCTACTGCCCCGCGCGCCGCCTCTCAGCCCTCGCGCTGCCTGTACTGATCCGCGAGCGCGCAGCCAGCCCGCTGCCTCGTCAGCCCCGTGCGACGCCCGCACATCCCGCCCGCTGCCTCGTCAGCCCCGCGCGCTGCCCTCCCACTGCCTTAGCAACCCTCGTACTGTCCTCCCACTGCCTTAGCAGCCCTCGTACTGCCTTAGCAGCCCTCGTACTGCCTTAGCAGCCCTCGTACTGCCTTAGCAGCCCTCGTACTGCCCTCCCACTGCCTTAGCTACCCTCCCACTGCCTTAGCAGCCCTCGTACTACCTCTACTGCTCCGCGCGTACCACTTCTCCGCCCTTGCTGCTCCTCCCCTGTCTCTGCAGCTTCGCGTACCGCCCCTACCGCCCTCCCGTAGCCCTTGCCGTCCGCGTGCTGCCTCTACTATCGTGCTGCAGTGACCATGGCTTTTATTAGCGTACTGTCGTTCGACCCTGAAGGTCGCCCAGTCGAGTTCGATGCCTGGCTAGAAGATCTGCAGCCGTATCTTATGACTGATGCCAAGGACGGCGTTTCGCTCTTTGACTTAGCCAAAGGTTCCTCAGTCGCTCCAGACACAGCTGACAGCGTCGCTCACTCACAGTGGCTTACCCGTGACGCTACTGCACGCCTAGCCATTCGCAACCACTTGCCTCTAGCCGAGCGCACCCACTTTGGCCAGCACAAAACCTGTGAGGATCTGGTTCAGGAAAGATAAATCTATTGAATCATTCACATGGGTACAAGGCGAGACTATATATAGGCTCGACACAAGGCCAGTTACCCAGGTGTTACGCGAATGTTATGAGGGTCGCGAAGCGTCCCAAACAGAACCTTCCCGAACTCAGTAGAAAGCAATTCGGTGGAAACCGAATAGGCTTGAGTCCGTTACACGTAACCTGGTTCGGTGCTATAACTACAATAAAATATAGGAATGCACCTAACCTAGGAAATCAAGCATATCTATGCATGATAAGTATAACCTAAGCTAGTAAT